GCTGAGCTGTAACACTGTTAAACTAAAACTGATCATTTTTCCGTCCATCCATCTGATGCCCGGATCTCCAGCTCTTCTGGAGGGATACTGAAGTGTTCCCGAGCCGTCTGATAGACACGGTGTCAGCCTGCCCTTGATATTTCAACTCTCCCACTTGGAGCAGTAACTCCACCCTTTTCTGACAATCATACTCTGAGACTTGGAGGTGCTCAATCTTTCAGTCCGCCTCATTTCTGTTGTTCAGATTTATGAGCAGTTGAGAATATTTAGGTTCATTTAAGGTTCAATAACATCAGCGTTACTGACTCACTGATTTATGGTTGTTATCGACCCTCTTATTTATGACTTTGGTCAGGTGAAAGCAGCGTGATCGATATTATTATGGAGATTTTTAAAAATTTCACTCTGGGTTGGTAATAATCAAAATTAGTTTTATTGTATTTCAATTTCTCATTCATAAATTTTCAAGCCTCAGCGGTTAAACCAACAACACTACAACAAAGCCTCATCCAAGGTGTGGCATTAAAAGCATCTTATTTTATCTAGTTGCTCTAATGGTAAAGTACAAGTTAAGATTATATATACACTTTATCCCAAATTATCATGCACTGTTTATCAGAAAAACTGGGATGCCAAATCAGTCAACACACCCTGTAAGAAACTAGCTTCAATAAGCTATAATAGCTCAATAAAAGTAATATAATAACGTTTAATAAAAAGGCTCAATAAGGTGAAGCTTGTACAACAGACAGGAGCTCGGTCATACAGAAATAAAACTGCTTTATAAGTAAAAGATTAAATAACATTCAGAAGAACAACATTCAAACCAATCAATCGAATGAAGTTATTCTTTAATGTAAAACAAACAAATAAACTAAAACAAAACAGAAGATGGATCGCTGTGTTCCTCTCATGTGTGACTATAATGAGATGTGCATTAATGAGTCACTAAAGTCTTCATCATGTTCTCATTTCATCTGCCTGAAAATATTTTCGTGTACCTCTCAGGAATGGTGTGTGTGCGTCTGTGTGTGAGGACAGGAATCTTTTTATTTAATCTTGCTGTAAAAAGAACAAAAGTAAATCCAATTTACTGAATCCAATCTGACACGTCTATACTGGTTTAAAGTATTAGCGTGTGTGTGTGTGTGTGTGTGTGTGTGTGTGTGCGCGTGCGCGTGCGCGTGTAGTATTAACTGTCGGATTATTTAAGCGAGGCCTTTCACCTCGCATGCGACAGCTCTCCAGTGCATATTTCTGTGCTGCCTGATGAAACACGCCGTGATTTGTCCTGCTGTAAATATTTGTCCTGCACCTTTAATCTTTCTGCATATCAGCAAATTTATTTTGTGGTATTTGAAGCTGACCATAGCTGAGCAGATGAGACTTTTTCATAATCAGGACAAACAAGCATTTAAAGTAGAACAACCTACTTTCAAAGCTGGATGTTTTATGATGTTTCTGTTACAGCATGATGACGTCAGCCTGTTATTGCTTCATTGTGACATCGCAGAGTGTTGTGTTGAAAAAATAAAATGGGTGTTGTACAGCTCTCTCCGCGCCCTTTCATGTGATATGGTCAAGTCAACCTTGATCGTGGATACTAACAATGACATCATGGTCAAACGCTTAGCCAACCAATTTCATATTTATGACTCTTTTCTTTTAATATTTATACTGTAGAGCCAGAAAATGAGCTGGTGGCACTGCAGCTTTACATTCTGCACACGTTACATCTTCTGTGCACATGTTGGAAAAAACATATATACTGTATGAGCCAAACCTTGAGCCGCATGTTAAAATCCTGTGAAGTCTCTAATGCCTGTGTTTGTGTGTGTTTCAGGTCCAGGTCTGGCCTTCATTGCATATCCGAAGGCAGTCAGTCTGATGCCGGTGGCCCCGCTGTGGGCGGCGCTCTTCTTCTTCATGCTGCTGCTGCTCGGACTGGACAGTCAGGTGACCAACACACTCTGTATCATACCTTTAATCAGCTGTGCATTTTCTCAATAAGTTTGCAGGAGTAACATGGAAATATAAATATCTATAAATATGGGTGTCATGTGGTTATAAACTGAATTTATGATATTTCCCGCAGGATTTTGGTAAATGTTTAATAGATCAGTGGTCCTAATGCAGAGCCTTGGGGGACCCCACAGAAGCAAATGATTGGAGAGAAATTTTAACTGGTTTTCAATATTTTACTTGTATTCAGCTTTATTCCTCCACTTCTGTTCAGCAAAGAGACACTGAAGACACTGTGTGTCTTTCTCCATGTCTGTCCCTGCAGTTTGTCGGGGTGGAGGGTTTTGTTACCGGGATTCTGGATCTGTTTCCTGGAAAGCATTATCATCGCTACAAAAGGGAGATCGCTGTGGCGATATGCTGTTTACTCTGCTTCATCATTGATCTCTCCATGGTGACACAGGTTGGATGAACAAAGACTTTTCCCTCAAAAATTTAAATTTTTGATGATTTATACCATTTTTAAATTAACTGTCTTTTCTTACTAGCTCGTAGTAACAAAAATGAAAACGCATAACGTGTGAAGGAGCTTATGAGAGAACAAGAAACACTTCAGCTGATGAACTGGTTTACTAAATCGACACTGTTCACTGAGCCGTCTGTTCCTCTGTCTCTGCAGGGAGGGATGTACGTCTTCCAATTGTTTGACTACTATTCGGCCAGTGGGATGACTCTGTTGTGGCAAGCATTCTGGGAATGCATAGTAGTTGCCTGGGTCTACGGTATGTAATAAACACAAACACACAGTGTAGTGCTTCATAGCAACGTGATTGTAAATAGAGCCTTTGTGAGGTTTGTCAGTGAGGTAGCCCATCTCAAAATAGGTCTGAAAATCATCTCAGATGATGTGATATTAGAGGTCACGGGTCAACGTGTTTTTTGTCACAAGCTAATATAAAATACAATATCACAGAATGATATGGCAACAAAAGACTATTAAGCTTTGTCATAGTGTGAATACAATCATGGAGAATTTCTAGTGTTTTATGACGTGAGTGGGGAAGAATCCTCAGCATCTTCCTGTCTTTGACTTGATTAATGAACTGCAGGTGCTGACCGCTTCATGGATGATGTGGCTCGTATGATCGGCTACCGGCCTTTCCCCTGGATGAAGTGGTGCTGGTCTTTTATAACTCCATGTGTCTGCATAGTAAGACTGAACAACACTATCCCATCCAGAAATAGAAACCCACAACCACACACACCAGTTTTCCTCCAGGCTATCAGGCACTAATACCAGTTTATTAAGAGCTGAGCGCATACGTACATTTTTGATTATTGTAGAGGAACAAATTCAGAAAAGATTTATATTGATTATACACTTGTATTTACCTTTTGCTGTCTCTTGAGCATACAGCAGAATCCTATTAAAACTAACAGGCATAGACCAACATTATTCATCAGTTCTGCTGTGACAACATAATGAAATCTCACAGTATCAACACCACAAATCATGTAAATGATGCCAAATATGTGCCAATCTTCCTCTTTAATCTCCCCTTTCTTCCCGTAGGGTATCTTTCTGTTCCACCTGGTGAACTATAAGCCCCTGACCTACAACAATGTGTACGTGTACCCATGGTGGGGCGAGGTGATCGGCTGGTGTCTGGCTCTGTCCTCCATGCTGTGCATTCCTGTCAGCCTTCTCTACAAACTCTTTAGAGCCAAGGGAACCTTCAAAGAGGTAAGCGCCAGCTCACCCTGGACGTGCACGCTGAAACAAAGGGTTATGAATGTATTTAAAAAGCATAGGTACAGACTTACCTCACATGCAGACTTTAAATTGACCTAAAACTGATGTAGTTACTATCCAGATAACAAAATTAGCCGAGACCACAAAAAGTTTTACATTTAGATTTTATAAGGTAAAAATGTAAAACGCAAACCTCAGTCTACCTGAAATTTGGTTTAAAATGAGGTTTTATGTAACTGTAATGTATGTCCCAGCGCTCGTAGCTCGGTATGAAGAGCAGAACATGTGACTTAAACTAATGCAAACACTCCTATTGAGTGACAGCAGAGGTCATTTCTAAGATATCACATCACGCTGCCCAACTTTATATAGAGTCGTTGTTGTAACATAAGCACACGTGGTGACACATGTTACCCTTTAAATTCTGGGAAATATACCTTAAATGAATAATAAAACACATGCAACATTACAGATGAATTAATTAAACTTCTCTGAACGTTCTGGTTTCTAAGCTTGTTGAACCAACTTTGGCTAAGAATTTTTATTTTACAGTTAATCACCTGCTACAGTTTTGCAGAACAATTCACTTTAACGCAGCTGTATTAAATACAAATAAGTCAATAAACATGCATCATGATAAGCTCAAGGATCTGGAAGTGACAGGTTAAGTTCGATGGAGAGGGGAGAGCGAGTACAGTTGGACTGGTGCTGTTGTAGAAAGTCTGGAAACATCGAGCTTTCTAGCTAGCACCTACACCTCTGCTGAAATGGGTTAACTTGACTTATGAGTGTAACAGAGGGGCACATAGAAGGTTAGGTGGTGGATTGGTTGGAGAAAATCACCAAACTACCAGTTGCTCCCCTGAGGTGCTGGCTGCCACTAGTTCTCCTTGACAGATAAGTTGTCATCTTCCATGCTAATTTTAGGTGACCATGGCCATCAGCTAGTGATCAAAGCAATCACAAGGATGTTTTAGGAACAGTATTGTCTTTGAGACCTAGTGACAGACTGCAACCTCTTACAACCAGTTGGAGGATAGCAAGACATATTTTTGTGACCGAGGCCTCACTAAGGAAATTTTGTTGGGTATACGTCTACAGACACAAAAAGTATTTGCTTTGAAATGGAGATAATTTAGTTTGCACAGTCCAGGTCAGCATGTCTAACTTCTAAACAGGAAAAGCTTTAATCAAACCAAGCGATTCCTCCAGATCACATGACTTGCAATCTGTGTGACCACGTGTTTGTTGATGTCTTGCAGCGTTGGGCCCACCTGACCACTCCGGTGTGGGGAGCCCATCACTTGGAGTACATGGCCCCGGATATCAAGTCCTTGAGCTCCATGTCGCCTGGCATCGATGACAACAAAGTCATCATCTTCGAGAGTGTCATGTAGGCAGGACTCCATCCCCGTCCATCCATCCACCTCCGACCAGACAACCGACAGCACCACACTCGACCTTCAGCTTTACCTCCAACCCATACAGAGGCCTCAGAAAGGACTCGAAGTGATTGATTAGATTTGTGGACTGATTGATTGCCTTTGCCCTTCGATTAATTGATTGATGGGTCTCCTTGGACCTATTGATCAGTTGGTCTCTTCATGTCACCAAAATAACCAACGCTAAAGATTTTTTTTAATACCTAGAAAAGAACAAAACAGAAGAGGAGTGACACAGCTCCTTCAGAAAGCTTCATAATTCCAACAACCACGAACAACCGGGAAAAAGAAATACTCTCCATGAATGTGGATAAAATGCTAAATTAGGGTAATCTAAAGTTTTCACTAAAGGCAGAATCATTTTGTGTTCTCTAAAAATACAAAACAAAAGAGTGTCTGCTGTCGAGGTCGAAGTCGGAGGTCAAGTTTCCTCCATCACCGATGATCGGTAGTATCAATGCTCTTCTCTCTGGGTGGGTGGGATGAAACGTTAACTAATAAACTGCCATTACATACAATCATCTCATTAAATGTTAAAGGGACTTGTGCTCACTGATTTTTATTTTAAAAAATGGCGGTTTATTCACACAGACAGAGTTGTAGACAGACAGACTGACTGACCCCCAGAAAATTAACAGAGGTCATTTGCTTTGCAACAGGATTTAATAAATGACAGGAAATAGTCTGAGACGCAGTCCCGTCGTCAAACATAAAAATGGAAGAAAAGATCAACCGAGAACCAGAACTATCGGGTTGAACGATCTCCGGGACTGGAGAGTAAAAAGTTCAACCTCCTGTTATCAAGCAAACCAGCGGTCCAGGAAGCCAGACTGTGCTCTGAGTCCTGAAAACACCCTCAGACACCCTTTGAGCACTTTGATTGTTGAGGCCCAAATCCTAAAACTCAAACTGATGCCCTGATTCCTTTTGAACGTTTCAATATATCGGTGCAGCTCTGCTGAAGCTAAATACTACAAATCACCAGCTTTTTACTACTGATCCCAGAACAGTCCTGGCTCCTGAGCAGTGTCGTGCTTCTCTGACCGCTGACCTCTGATCTGCAACAACAGATCTGATCTCAGAGGGAAATGTCCAGAGAGACTTCAGTCAGAGTTATAACAAGGGCTTTAAATTGAATCCAATCAAAAACAATTAATAAGATCAGTAAAATCTCCTCAGAGCTTTTAACCCCAACCAGATGCAAACACACAGATGCCGTCAGCTGTTGAAACTGATTTGAAACTAGACTGAAATCTCACTGGATCTGACCTTTAACCCTTCCCTGTCATGTGTCTGACCTCCCTGTGAGGAGGTTCAGGCCTGTGTGCGAATCAGGTCAGAGGTTGGGCTTCGTTCAGTGTCCCCCAGGTCGACTGAAGTGCCAAATGGGGCGCTGCCCGCCCTGCAGGGCTGATCCTAGACCAGGACTCCAGGCTGCCAAAATCAACCTGTTAGCTCTTCTCTCTGCCTCGTCTCTGTCTCATCGATGCTGCAGTCCTCCATCCAAACCTCACTTCTTCCTACTGAACCACTGATGGTGGCACCTTCCATCTCACATTCTCAGTTTCATACGCCTAAACTTTTCCTGTGTGATCAGAGTTCATATCATTCTAGTCATTTGTTTAAGGGCCTCCCTTTGGGTGTAGCTCCTCACAAACAAGCAACGCTGCCTCTGTATGTGGTTAACCTCGTCTCCGCACAGTAATGGAAATTAGACATTCACACTCTAGTGACTGCTCAGTACGTAAAACCACCAAGAGGTCCAATATTAGAATCTATCACAAAACATTTAACAGGTTTCTAAGATTCCTCAAGAAAAAGAAAAAGAAAAATCGATGTGAGATTGGTTTGAATAAAATACTTTCTGAATTGAAATAAGAAAACTAGCATCAATAAAATGGTAATATAAGTACATCGGCGCTCTTCCTTACACAATGCATCGACTGAGTAACACTAACTCACATTCATGAAGTTAGACTGCAAAATAAACTAAAACAAGAAATCACTCACACACTGTCAGTCGTAGACAAATTTATGTAACTGTACACAATTAAATATTATTTGTATAAAATTAACAGCAGAAAATGACAGTAAGGGGTCATTTGTATTGCTTAAACTGATAAATATGATTTAGCTGGGTGCTACACCTTTTTTTTTTCTTTAACTGAAAAATAGCACGGGGCTAATTTCTAGTGTTAATGATTTTATAACGTTGGAAATGTGTGAACCCTGTGCAAATCGTCTGCACAAAAAAGTCCCATACAGATGAGCAGACACTAAAGTACTGACACACTTCAAAAAGTGTTTAAATTTAAGAAAAATTGCTGAAGTGAAATATGAACCTCAAAATTAGCTACAAAAACTATCAACAGGACTTCCACTGATTTGCTTAGTGGACCCAAAATGCACCTTTAGTCTGGAGACCAGAAAAAGACCTGATTTGACTTTAAAACCGAGTCCGTGTTCACCTGCCGTCCGGTCAGCTGGTGGAGAGATGAGAGCCGGAGGACTCAGTGTGGTGCCAAGCATTGCCTTACATTGTTGTCTTAACTCTAGAGCCTGAACGGTTGACTAGCCAAGCCCAGAGCCCTACAGGACGTCCTGTGTACGGCTCTGGTTTATATCAAACCAATCAGCAGTCTGCGGGGGCGTGTCTATAACTCTGTCTCCTAGCAACCCCTCACCATCCACCCATCATGGGGAACTATAACAATTAGAATGTCAAATATGCGAAAATTACCTACATTTGCACATTACTGTAAAAAAATAATAATAATAAAGAAATAATGTTGCTAGCACTTTAAAAAAAAAAAGAATAGTGTTAGAAATCGCATTTTGTTTTACATATTGTAAGCTGAATCAGAGATTTATTTTATGGAGGCTTTTATTTTGCTGATACATACAATATGACAAATATATATATATTGAATATCTTTGTGTGTTATCTATATTTGATGCAGTATATAATTGCGATGATGATGATGATTTCTGGCTGATTGTTCACGTTTAGCTGGCAAGCACAAGCAAAGCGGTGCCTCGAGCTTCAGGCTACCTCACTCCTCATTCAGACTTTCAAAGCAAATTTCTTTTGGCTTTTTATGCAAAGTTTTGTCAGCAGTACCGGCTGGTAGCAGGAGGGGATTGTGGGAACCTTTACAGTTCTCCGACACCAATGAAAACAAAAAGTCATGCTTTAAAACAACTTAAACTGGGGATTTTTATGTTGAATTTTTAATTTAATGTTGCTGATACACACTGATACTGCGAGGCCTTTGACCAGGTGTATGACTAGCTAACGTGAACAACCAGCGTAGGGCGGGGCTATTATTCTGGCGGGCTTGCTGCGATGCAGTGATATGAAGACTGTCGAGGTTTCGTGTGGATCTGAGCAAACTTCAAAAGGGAATTGTTGGGTTCTCTCTTTTACTGACTTCTAATGTTCAAAGTGCTCAAGTGTTTGAAGAGTTTTAGCTTTAGATGATTTTTATTCTTTGGGTTTTAAATCAATATCAGTATTCTCCCAACGACCCCCCCACGGCTCTCACGTCATTACTTGAGTTTGATAGAAAAGTATGACAAACAATTCTTTAAAGTAAATTTGCTGATAATTGCTGTAACTGCCATTTGACGTAATTAGGAAGCTCCTGCCACTCACTATCTCAGTATAGTGAGGTGGTCAGGCCTGGAGTGACAATGCCAACATGCGTGCAGCTGAAAAGATAAACAAAACAAACACTAAGATACTCCACCGGTTAGTTTAAGACCTTAATTACAGCCAGATACCCAAGAACGTGAAGAACAGCATTAGCAGAATCAGCAAAACAGACACAAATCTGGTTTCTGTATTTAATCTCTGGCTTAAAGCCCTGTTCAGTCAGAACGGATGGAGGTTTTTAATCCAGTCAAATAAACGAGTCGGATGAAATGGTTGAGTTCAAAAACCTGCATCCTTTACAACAATGATAACAGTCGCCCTCTATCATGTTTGGTTTATGCAAAGTAAGAAGTCAACAAAGCATAATGGACACAAACAAGACAAACTCAGTCATTTTCAGACCAAATGGAAACCTAATTATGAAGACCAACCAAAGGGACTTAAAAAGAGTATTTGGGCTGTAAAGTCAAACATCATCTGCATAAAAAAAATGCTTCAAAAACACAATTCTTTGGATTTGGTATGACTTCTACTATTCAATTATATCAATACCTCTGATGTAAATCTATATTAAAAGTTTGATGTTTTAAGAAAAAGCCCATAGTTAGCCTGAGAATCTTCCCGTTTTCTTCAGAGTCAGTGACCTGAAAATAATTGTGCTTCTCGCTGAGAAAAACGTGAACAAATCAAAAATAAGGGAACAAAAAATAATGTATAAGAGAAAAATAAAGAAGGGTTTTAAATTAGAGAAAGAAGAGGAATCCTGCTCATGAGGAGCTTGTTGTGGTTGGAACTTTTACAGTTACTACCCAAATACACAAAAGACTCTCTTACAATTCTCAAAGAGAAAACCACCTTAAATGGGGTTTAAGGGAAAGAGTGCAGAGCTCAGATGAGCCAGTTCCCAGAATGTTTAGGATTCATCTGTCGATCAAACTTTTCATATTTAAATGAGAATCCAAAGCGAGGATGCCTTTTGTGCAGCGTTCTGCTGCAGTGTGCTGGGACGTCTTCTAGGAGCCAAAACAAAAGTCATCAGCTCAAAAATACTTCAATACAAACCCTTCTTTCAGTTATTGTACACAACTAATTCAAGAACGGATCAAAGACAAAGTTTCTAATTTTTAAAATGTACAGATGACTCACTAAGTTATCAGTAACTAATGTCACTGATAACTATTTCAATTAGTAAAACTAAGCTTGCAGCAATAACCAATCAAACTCACAGTTTAATGTTCAATGTTTGATTTTTTAAAAAGTTGTATTGTAGTGTTCTCGTCTTGTTTCCGGACTGGAGCCTGGGTGGGTCAGAGTGTGAAAAAACAAAAAGAATCTACAGCCATTTAAGAAAATGAACATGTATGTTACAAAATCAATGTTGTTTCATGTCAGTGTGTGTGCTCTTCTGCCAAAACACATGTTGTGACAGAGTCATTAATCCAAAACTGTGATGGAAACGGCCAGGCTGGATGCTGTAAAACACACCTGCACAGGTGCAGGGAGGTGGCTCTTTTTAGTTTCCCTCACTCAGGCTGAAGTGAGTGATGTCACAGGTGATGGTGTGAACTGAACATGCTATGCAAACGGTTGTGCTTCAGCCTGCGTGTTTCTGGACGAACAATCAGACATTCAGACAACAAAAATGACCCAATGCAGCATCTGGATTCTCACAGTGAGAAATGTTCTGGTCTCATCTGGACCGGAGCCACACTTTACTATTTTTTTAAATAAACAGTAACTGATGTAACTGACCTTTTACATATGAAACTTTAATGCCTGCCTGTTATTTTCATTTTCAGACAAGTATTTAAAAATAAAAAACAAACAAACAAATAAACTGATTTTTAAAGAGTAAGAACTAAAATAAAGTAAAAATAAGTCAAACATCGATGTGTTGTACTCAGAATGTGAAAATCTTTAGCAAATTACTTTTATGCAGCATTTTGAAATGCACATCCAGAATGTATCCATAGTTAAATTTGAGATTTTGTGCCGAAATTTTTAATGCTAATTTGCAGTTGTAAAAATTTAATCAGAAACGTAGCATTAAGGACGACAGAAATCACACCTGAAACTTGGTGATGGAACAACTAGCAGAGCAGAAAAGGCTCTTATGTTCAGTTTTTAAGTTTTATATTTTAATTCAATAAAGTTAAAACTTTTAAAATCTTATGAAAGAGAACAGAACGGATGCTTTTTTTACATTTAAATTTTATCCCTGAACTTGTCCATGTTGCTCTGACTGTCCGATTGTTCACTTCAGGTTTTTGATAAATGATACTTCGCTCAGCTGGTTTCCTTTAGTGGAGAGCGTTTATTTCCCAGAATCCTCCTGCTGTTCTCAGACCCATGTAAAGTAGATAACACTCACAGCAGAGATGTTAGCAGAATGTTTAGCGGTTATTTTACAGCCGATAAGTTGCCAAAATATTTAACATCCAAATAAACCAGAACTACGGAAGCCTAAAAGGGAACACGCAAAGAAACGAGATGATGCATTAAGGTTTCGTTTCTTGACGGAACAGGAAGGTTTTCTGGGAAAAGCAAATAACTGGTGCTGTGGAAAAACAACCAAAAATATCACTGTGTGAAATATTTTTTTGGGAAGCTAACCTCAGGTGGGATTTTTGCAGCAGTGGAACCAGCAGGAGGCGCTCTCCTCCCCTGGGAAATGTCATCAAGTTTGGGCTGGAAACAGAGACAGAGACCCCTGACAATTAAAACCTGCTGAAATCAATTAAGGGTTCAATAAAAACACTGACGTGTACACAAGATCAAGCTAAAATTGGAAGTCAAGTGAGTGAAATGACTGTCACAGTAGCTTCCACTGAGGGCAAGGTACAAACCCAAACAACCATCCAATCACAGTCAGGCAAAAGTACTGTAGCTAAACATCATCTCATTAACTGAACCCATTCACTGTAACATAACAGATTCTGAGTGAACGTGTACACGCAACAGACAGGAAAGACTTCAGCCAGCAGGTCCTGCCTCTGTCCCAGCTCAGACACAGCTACATGGTGCCCTCAGTGTTGTAACTGTGTCTTTGTGATTTGTGTAAACCACAGT